TATGACCAGCTTTGACCAATAGGTGAGCAATTGTGTTCCGTCATGACAATACTAGAATACACACATCGATAATGACTTGGGATTGTGAGGTACTGATGCATCGACATTATAGTTTGAACCTGGCACCAAGTGATTACTGTACCTAAATCGGTCTATGTAGCTATTTTCTACTAGCTCGTTACTTTATAATTATAAAGCGTAAAAGCTGTCGTAAAAGCCTTTTGGCTTAACATCGATTAGAGGAGATCAAGTGTGATCTCTTTGCACTCAGTAAGGCTAGCCTCTTCTTAATTGTGGGACTTTTGAAGGCATTACCTTATTATCTTCCATGCTGTAAAGTTGGGAATCTGCAATAGATGAGKTATAACTAACATTTCTAAAGCTTTCTATAATATTCTAGAAAATACCTTTCTTTATACCTTCTTTTAATCAAAATTATCTTCATATTTTATTAAAAATCCGCTGAAACCACACAACGTAATAATATATAATACGAGTATAATAATAGACATACATACATATGTATGATGCATTCAAGATTCCTGTATTCTTAAAGTTTGGCGAAACCTTCAAAAATTCATTCGAAAATTTTAGCAATAATTTTGGAAAAGAAAAACAACAACAATAAAAAGTTAGATGACACGGACATAAAAAGAAGCACATTTGCTGCATCATCTCGGTTATCAGCGCTTTTAGTACGAATTTAATTTCCGCACAAACACCGGTGTACACGCACACACCTATATAAGTATATGTATATGGTAGCAGCTTAGCGATTGAGATTCTCAAACTGCAAATACTTTGCTTGTAGTTCGCTCCAAACGATTTTACACCACAAAAATTAAGTTTTCACACAAAGTTTCTGGAAGCCGTCGACGCCGCCACTGATGACAGCATTTCCTCTGTCTCTATTTTAAAGTAATGCGCTTGTAAGTGGGTGTACGTGTATGCATGTGCGTGTTAGTGTTGCTGTTTTACTTTTTTTTTGTGAAATTGCAAATTTGAAAAGTTTTCAATGTAAGTGCGATTTTGAAATGTCGAAACTCTAAACATTCAACCACAAAATGGTTTTTGCTGAATGGAATCGAGTTGCCAACTTCAACATTTTCCTTTCGGCTTCATTGGCTTGGAGATTGGGCGAAGAGATTTCGGCGTGCTTGTTTTTGGGGTGAGCGCACACTTTTGCTAGTGAGCGGCGGTGRGTGAATATATATGTATATGTGTACATGTACAATATTAGGGAGAGTCAAAAAGACATTACTAGCCTTGAACTCATTCACCGTGCGTTCAAGGATGGTCGAGGAATGCCTAACCTCCTTACCAAGGGCATCGAGTGTCTTTAGGATAAGACCAGTATGGATGCTCCCTATTAGTGAGACTTTTGACGGATCATTGTTCTATTGACGTACATGCTGTAAGGTTGGGACGCCATTTGCAGAAGCTGTATGAAAGAAGATGAGAYGAAAGCAACTCAACACTTTTTTTTTTGTCTAAGCAAATTTAATAGTTCCAGCACAGGAAATCTTCTTTTCTATGGCTTCACAAAGGACTACCTATATCAGTCCACATGCGATCTTTGATCAGTCATCTAACCTAACCCAACTTAGCAAAAAATCAAAGTTGACCTTGTTTTATTAATTCTTAATTAATGCGGAATGGAATGGGCGCAGAAACTGTTGCTCTGTCTCAGATAACTCGCCAATCTTTCGGAACACTGTTGCATCTCTCAGGTTCTGGCTGAGAAAACTAACAACGCAGCAAACAACATAAAGAAGATCCTTGTATACAACGATAGCCGAGCGGCAAAAAACTTACATCAAACTACGTCAGAGAATGTTCTTAGAAGCAGGAGACAGGAGATGTAGTGGCTGCTTCGAAAGCGATTGTCTATATATTGTGTTCCAAGTCGTAAAGAAATTCCGTGAAACGAAATAGCTGAGAAGGTTGCTAAAAGTATCACACATCTGACTACCGAACCAGTCGMGGCAATACTTAAAACACTAAAAACGATACATGAGGAAATTTCYGATAAGATAGAAGATGATGCGCAAAAGCCTCGACGAAATACTCATATGCTCTTTTCCACACGTTATCGAAAGGACTACAGGATGGTTGTTGGTCTAGAGAGAGGTCACAACTTATTGGCATCACATGCGAGCGGGATGTGCATTAGTAAAAAAGATACATGCAGAACATGCAGCAAATAAGGCGTAAAAGGGGCGTTGGAATATCACCGATGATCTTATTTGGAAATTGGCTTAGATATCTGGAGCTTTGCAGTTCAAATGACTAGATAAAGTATCAAACGGCTGAAGCTACTTTTAAAGTATGCAAATAGTGCTTACGTTCGATGTGACGAACACTTCAGCTCCAATTTAAATGAACCTCTAACCACTTGTTAAAAACCAATAGGCTTATRTATGGCGTAACAGCCGGTCAGTATAATCTAACCTCAGAAGAAATCA